ACGAGATCGATCGGTACCTGCAAGCCGTCGATGAAATCCAACGATCAATGGAGTTCGCTACACTTTCCGACGACCAGAACAAAGCCAATAGTGCGATCCAGATCGCCATGGCTCGGCTTGAAGATGAGCTTCGCAACATACTCATTGCTCACACAACTCCGATGGAAGCTGAATCTCTTACTGACACCAGTAACGAAGATTACCACGACAACAACAGTGAGGTTGACTCGCCGTTGACCAAGGAGTTGGAGCATCAAGAGAGTAACAGCAGCGGCAGCTATCGATCTACAAATAGCATCCGTGAAATCGATCTCATGCCGTCCGATGCAATTTACGATCTTCGATGCATCGCCGAGCGAATGATTTCCGCCGGGTACCTCCGGGAGTGTATTCAGGTGTATGGCAGTGTACGCAAGTCTGCAGTGGACTCAAGTTTCCGGAAACTCGGAATAGAGAAGCTGAGCATCGGAGATATCCAGAGATTAGAATGGGAAACTCTAGAAACTAAGATCCGACGGTGGATACGAGCTGCAAAAGTATGCGTTCGGATACTTTTTGCTAGCGAAAAAAAGCTCTGTGAGCAAATCTTCGAAGGTTTAGGCACTGCAACGGACGATGCTTGTTTCACAGAGACAATCAAAGGTCCAGCTATTCAGCTCTTCAATTTTGCGGAAGCCATTAGTATTAGTCGGCGATCACCGGAGAAATTGTTTAAGATATTGGATCTTCATGATGCTTTATCGGATTTACTGCTGGATATTGAGATTGTTTTCGATTCAAAATCTTCGGAGTCAATTAGGGTTCAGGCTGTAGAGATATTATCTAGGTTAGCGGAAGCCGCGAGAGGGATATTATCGGAATTTGAAAATGCAGTGCTTCGAGAACCTTCTAAGGTTCCTGTCCCTGGAGGGACAATTCATCCCTTGACTAGGTATGTCATGAATTACATAAGTTTAATCTCGGACTACAAACAGACTATGCTTGAATTGATTGTCTCTAAGCCGTCAACAGGTTCAAGGTATTCTAGTGATCCTAACACCCCTGATATGGATTTTGGTGAGCTAGAATCACAGACCCCTTTGGCGCTTCATTTGATCTGGATTACTGTGATTTTGCAATTCAATCTTGAAGGTAAGTCTAAGTTCTATAAAGATACTTCTTTGGCACATTTATTTGTGATGAACAATGTACATTATATTGTTGAGAAGATTAAAGGCTCACCTGAGTTAAGGGAGATGATAGGGGATGATTATTTAAAGAAATTAACAGGGAAATTCAGGCAAGCAGCTATTAACTACCAGAGATCAACCTGGGTGAGGGTTTTGTATTGTTTGCGAGATGAGGGTTTACATGTTAAAGGCAGTTTTTCATCTGGGGTGTCTAAGAGTGCATTGAGAGAGCGGTTTAAGACATTCAATGCTATGTTTGAAGAGGTTCATAGGACTCAGTCCACATGGTTGATCCCAGATACTCAGCTCCGGGAGGAGCTGCGTATTTCTATATCCGAGAAATTGATCCCAGCTTATAGATCATTTCTCGGAAGGTTCAGGACTCATATTGAGAGCGGAAGGCATCCGGAAAACTACATCAAGTATTCTGGTGAAGACATTGAGACTGCTGTCTTGGATTTCTTTGAGGGGTATCAAGTTTCACAACACATAAGAAGAAGATCTCAGTGAAAGGATATATGTTTCACTAATTAAAATTTTAGGACATTCTTTGAATTTTTTTCGTGGAGTATTTAGGAGCTGAGGTTCTGGTATTCGGGTTTTTATGGAGTTTGTGTATTGTCCCACGGTGTTCCTGTATGATGTGCTGCGCGCAGCAGAAAATTTTCGGAAGATTAGCTGTATCTATGATAGTCTTGGCCTCTGCCTGAATGCTCCTGCCCTGTAAGCCACAGTGTTGTTGTATTTCTTCCATATTTTAGATTTTATTTCTATTTGTGCATATCTGAAATTGTTGTATTTGGTTTTACTCTGAAATTTTAAGCCATTGAATCATTGAGTCCAGGGTTCCATTTATCCTTGTAGGTCACTCTCTTAAGCCCATGCCATTTTATCAGGTGCTTAAATAGTTTGAACATTGAAGGCAACATACTTGAGGACATTATCCCTAACAACTGAAGTCTTTGAAGCAAACTAGACTTCAGAATTCCATTAACAATGTCTTAATTTATGAGTAGTATTCCCTTTCTGTCTTCTTACTGTCTTAATTTGTCAGTGGAATGGAAAGAGTTCTTCCCAACTATAGCACGGAAGTTTTTGCAGCATGTCAATTTGCCTGTGACTGTGTGTTTGGTAAAGCACCATTCAAAGGGCGTCTCGGTGCACTAAACTCCCGCTATGCGCAGGGTCCGGGGAATAGCTGGACCACAAGGGTATATTGTAGGCAGCCTTACTCTGTATTTCGGCAAGAGGCTGTTTCCACGGCTCGAATCCGTGACCACCTGGTCACATGACAGCAACTTTATCAGTTACACCAAGACTCCACTTCGTAATGCACCGTTCAGAATGATTGTAGTTCTCTGTTTAATTTGTACCTTTTAGTTGATAGGATCACTGGTGCTTATACTTTATAGAAACAACAAAAAAAAAAAAAGGAGAAGAGGTACTTATTTAGCTGTTGTTGAAGATCAAAAGAATCTATTAATCACTTTAGTTGTTTAATACTCTCAAACATGAAACCTTACCTTATCTCAAAGTGAAAAGAACATGAACCCTTGGTGCTATTTTTGGGTTATAACACCTATAGCATTATTACATTCGCTTTTTTAAAAATTTATTTTTCATTCCATGGTGTACCTTTTAGGCTAATAGCCCGTTTGACCAAAGTTCTAAAATCAACTTATTTTAAGAAGTGTTTTTTTTCTCAAAAGCTCTTTTCTCAAAAATGTTATTCGTCATAAGCAGTTTGATTTTGGTTACTTAATTTGAAAAACACTTTTGAGCAACAATTAGTGTTTGGCCAAGCTTTTAAAAAGTATTTTAAGTGTATTTTTCTTAAAAGTGCTTTTGGGGAGAAGCTATTTTTTTCTCTCTCTCCAAAACTGTTAATGTTTCTACTGAAAAACACCTTTTTTTGTTCTAAAAGCTTTGCAAAACACTTCACTCAGATGACTCACCAAACACCCACTAAGAATTGCGATGTGCATTCTAATATGGTAGGAAATTGAAGGAACAAGTCAGAATGGGTAACATAGAAGATTTTCACTAGCTTGTTTCTAGGTTTTGTGTATAAATAATAAAACAAACACTTCAAGGGATAAAGTATAGAGGACTTGGTTTGTCGACTCCAATTATGGAAAATTATTTATCTAATTGCTTATCCTTCTCTCTTTTATGAATGTTAATTTCCCACGTTATAATAAAATGTTCAAAAGTTGGTCGTCTTTAAGCTCTAAACGAAACAAGAAGAGTAACACCCACAAATTCAAGTACATTCTTTCTAAGTCAATGGTAGAAGCATTGACTAGTCAGTTAAGGAATACTTGACTTTCTTTGATCAATTAATGTTTTCGTTGAACTTTTTTACTGAGTCAAGGCTGACATTTAAGACTGCCTGCGTTTAACATGAACGAGGAAGTCTATGTCAACATAAAAGACTTGAAACTCTAGAATAGAATTGAAGGATGACCACGTCTTTGAAATATTCATTTATTTCATAGCCAAAATCACTGACCAGCAAGACCTGGGGACGACTAGTGCAACGAGTTCTATATGTCAACATGGATGACTTGTGTGATACTCATGACGGAGGGCGGGCTGATGAGAGCAGGTCAAGACTGGCAGGCTTAGCAGGTCAAATAGGACTGACAGGCTTCTAGGTCGACAAGTTTCTGAAGAAGGGATGCAATGAGAGCAGGTCAAGACTGGCAGGCTTAGCAGGTCAAATAGGACTGACAGGCTTCTAGGTCGACAAGTTTCTGAAGAAGGGATGCACATGCTATCTCAGACGAATCCCACTTCAGAATGGGAAAGGAAAGTGAAGTGCCTTATAAGGCATGACACAAGTTCAAATTATACGCGCGCTTTTTGGCTCAATGATGGCGTAGCAAACTCCAGAATATTAACATTTTCACCACATTTTATCACTTAACTATGACAAAGTTAATATTATTGTGTAAACATCAAACATGAACAAGATTTTCCAACTCGTAATTTCCAATTGGAAAGCAATCAAAGACGAGAATACTTTCTTAACCTTCTAGTTAATTTCCTTTACTTCATCAAATTAAACTAATCATTCCCTTTATTTATTTTCATTTTCTTTCTGCCGTAACGCACCGAAGACATGACCTTTGATAGGAGAGTGTGGATGTTGAGAATTAGGGGTAAAAGGTTAGTATATAGTTGAGTGTTTCCCTTTGTCTTCCTTAGTTCAAAAAAAATTAGTGTTAATATGGTATCCCTTTTACCCTTAGTTTGCTATTTCCACATATCTTGTATTGTTAGTACTTGCCTTCGGTATCTTCGGTATCCCTTTAGCTTGATATCATTATATATCTTGCACTGTTATTACTTGTGAAGAGTACTTCTTTCATCTTCCCCTTTTTTATCTTGGATTTAGTTTTCTAAATATCCTATATTGTTACTACTTGTTATCAGTGCTTCTTACATCTTCTCTTTAATCGAGGGTCTTCCCAAAACAATCTCTCTGCCCTTCCAGGGTAGGGGTAAAGGTTGCGTACATCCTACCTTTCCCAGACCCAGTTAGTGGGAATGCACTAGGATGTTGTTTTCCGCCGTAACGCCTCATATACAGAAGGGAAAACGAATCCTTTTGAGTTTTGACTAGAAAGAATAATACACATAAACGTCCAACCTATATGTACTTTTCCTTTGTTCTTTCAAAAACAAATTCACTAACCTATATGTACGTAAACTCCAGGTAATATCTATCAGTGACTTGCCAAAGTTTATATGCTAAATTGTTACATCAGAAAAGGAAACACACCACCAATTATTCCGAAGCAATGCAACGAACACCAAGCACAGGAATATAAAAAAAATTAGCTGTTATTTCAACAGGATAAAACGACGAATGTCTATACAATCTACCATAGAAGTTTACGTTCTTCCAGACTAAAATAAGAAGACAATGGAAGAACTGTGGATAACGTACGTTTACCATCTTCATAGTCTAGCATTCTTCATATCATCCAACACAGGGACTCGTACTAACATAAGATGAGTGCACCAACCATAGTCAAAACATCTAAAGGAGAACAAATAAATAGATAATAGCATCAATTCCTGTTTACCCATCCGACCTGCAATCATTTACTGTAGATGTTACAATGAACTGCCAAATAGGGTACACCAGTGAGAAAAGACAAATCCATTTCTAGTTACTTTTTTGCCATCACCCAGCTACCGCGATAATATTTGCGGAAGGCATGGCATAATCCCAAGCAGAAACCGGTATCAGCAAGAAACTTCACTCCATATCAAGGAATTCCATCCTCTTTCTCATTGAACCTTTAAGATCTGTCGCCTCCCTTTCTGCTTTTTGGGCCTGGTGGATAGACAGACGCATTATTTATAAAGAGAGTTAGACAGAACCAAACAGAGTTAAAACTCGGATGATATCCAGATAATACACATGTAAAGCAGATAAAAAAATAAAAGGAAATGGAGCAAACGTTATTATACTATACTATTCCTTTGATTTGGATAACAAGGTACTTTATTTAATTCATGAGTTTCAAGAAAAGAAGTTAATTATGGAATACAAGCTTTTTACTATATCTTGCTCCAATAGTGGGGTAGACCTATTCGCTTCCTGGATAGTAGTGGTTCGTGGGCAGGGGAGGGGTGTGCGGAATTTTATGATATCAAATATCTGTGTGTTATCATTTAACAAGTGAAGACATGAAGGATTTGGCTTGAAATTGTACTTAAAGGAGATTGTAACCGTTGCCGTATCTATCTACTTATTATGAGGAGTTGTAACTGCAATGGAACGTGAACTTTTGAGATTATTCTTTTTCTTAAGGGAGTCAATGTTGATGCAACTCTTTCGGGTGAGTTGTCAAATTAACTACGAGCATGAGAAGTTGTGTCGTATCAGGAAGCTAATATGTTAGAGACCATAGTATTCCGGCCTTATTAGTTTCTTTCCCTTGTTTTCTATTTTTTTCAAAATGATATTTAGGTTATTTAGTTTTTAAAAAATATATAGGTTATTTAGAAAGGTATTGTGGTAATTTAATTTTTAACTTTTGAAGTTCCACTTGTATAATAATCTAGATATAGATATAGATAAATAAAGTTAGTCCTAATAATATTTTTGAATTGAGGCGTAGTTATTATCGTTAAATCATTCCCAATTATGAATATTAGTAATATTACTGGGTAAATCATTTTAACTTACAGATTCAGAATCTACACATTTTGTGTGCAAAAACATATCTGAGTATGTAATTCAGCAAGGCAAATATCTTTTGCTCGTGGTAAGCAGTTTCAACAAATTATAAACTGACTAAATTTCTATATAAATTCATCAAATTACATTGATACAGTAGTTATATGATTACATATTTATTAGATAACTAAATCATAATATGCATATTTGGTAACACATTTCAAAGCACCCATGGCATCATCTACAGTCTCAGACAACACTGTTCCAATAAAAAAAAAAGGCCCCCTAAGGATAAAAAAGTTTGTAAATTTTCCTAACTTAGTTATCTGATGATACTATATAGGAAATGTTGACCAAATGACTTTTTAATTTAAGTTTAGGATAATTAATTTAAAAACTGGCAAACAAACGTGAGATTCAATCTTGATGTTAAATGAACAGGAAGGTTTAAATTTTTGAACTTGTTTTCTGTTTTAAATTATTTTTTGAATCTTCAAATTTGTAGGAGGCTTGTCCTAAAATTTGACACTTGTAGACTTTGGCTTTTACACTTGTCATGTTATCCTTGTTTTGCCTCTCCTATTATATATAGATAGAAGATAGATAGGTTCCATCATCCTATCAGTATAGCAAGTGCTTTTATTAAAAGAAGAAAGGATCAGGCAGACAGACAAGAAATGCAATAAAAGAGTGGTCAACAACTTAAGCAACATGCAAATAAACCAGAGGCCAACAGATCTTTAACAGCCACTGTTCCCGTAGTAACAAGTTAAAAAGATTCATAGATGCAGAATTTATCAATTAAAAGATCAATCAAGCCCATTTTAGAGAAACTAAATAAAAGTTGGAGATCATTATAGAGTACTAAATACAAAGACCATCCTTCTTCAATAACCCTAAAAAGTTAGAAATATGTTCATACAAGAGGGACAACGTTAAAGTAAAACCACAGAATTAACTCTATTTAATTAGTCTTTTGGGTGGTGGCAGGGGGCTTTTCCAACTTCTAATTTAATAAAATTTACTTATATGGCACTAACTTCTCGTAGACAATTTTTCAGAGGAATTGACAAAGGTAACACTAAAGAACCCGCAGAAACAGACCCTTCTAGTTCTGATATTTGCAAACCAACAATTATACGATGGATTTAACCAGACTGAACACGTGTAAAATGAAAGAAGGTAAGTGCTATTTAGTAAGACCAAAACCAACTTGAAGTCCAAAATGATTACACATGACGCTGTTCAACTTTACAGTAGGCTATATTCAAATCAATACTCAGATTAGGTGTTAAACAATGTTAGCAAAAATATAAACCTAAAAGTTGCAGCAGACACAAATGGTGGACCCAAGGCATTCTCATGTTCCAACATGACCATTAAGGATCTAATTAGTCAAACGAAGAGCAATGGGATCATACCCTTCTTATCTCTGCTTCAGGAACGCGAGTCATGTGGGGTGGAAGTTCCTCCTTATCTACGTCCTTGTCAATCAGAAGAAAATTTATGAGGCAAAAGGGTGCAGGAATACAAAATAAAAAACAATCTTGCTTTCAAAGAACTTTGGGAGGGTTGAGAGAGAGAGAGAACTATGCGTACCAGCTCCCCGATTAACACGACATTTTCCCCACGGATAATATAAAGACCTAATGGAATATCACAGTATAGATCACCAACAATAACACGATCGCATGCCCCTTCTAGGACAGCATTAGCTACAAATGACAGATAGCATTTCCTTCAGCTGGTTAATTATTACTGTTAAACTGAAGTGATGAGAAGAGAAGCCTACCAAATTGGTCAAAAGAACGAAGTGTTCCCAAAAGCTTTCGCCCATCTCTCAGCAACACAAGAAGTTTTTCTGTGAAGGATATTCCGTCAAAACAAGAAAAGAAAGAAATAGAGCCTAGGGAGCTAAAAACAGGCTAAGTCATGTTATAAAACTATGACAACATTCATTTGTATGCTGTTTGTTTTATGCAACTAGTAATATGAATCGTCAGAGCCTAAAGCTTTAATAAGCAGCTTTCTCCACTTCACATTTTGCCCCCTATGAGAACACAGACGCTACCGCCTCGTTTACTGACTATTCTGTCAAGGATGTAAATAGCAAATTCTTAAGATTACAGGAATATATCTCCATGTAGATCAGTACTTGCAAACAGTCTATGATTCATAGCCTTATAACAACAACAACCCAGCAAAATCCCACTACTGGGGTCTGGGGATTCATAGCCTTATAGAATATAAGAAATCAGTATGAAGAAACCACTTTTCTTGTGTCTGCTCCACTATCTTAATCACAGGTGTATGAGTTTCTTGAAGTAGTGTTCAACATTTTACTAGGAAATATCCTTT